TTCTACCTTCTTCCTCCCCCTCCTTCCTCTTTCTCCTTTTTCCTCCTCCTCCTCCTCCTCCTCTTCCTCCTCCTCCCGCTCCTACTGCTCCTCCTCCCCTTCTCTTCGCTCTCCTTCTCCACATTTTCCTTTTCCTTCCTCTTCTTTCGCTTCCTCTTTCCTCCTCCTTTCTCTGCCTCCTCATCTTCGTCTCCCTCATGAAACACATCCTCTTTATGTTTTCCAATGCCTCCTTCTCCTCTGCTCCTCTGTTGCTCCTGTCACAGTTCTCTCCCTCTTCCTCCCACATCGCCTCATCAGAGTTTGTCGTCAGATCAAGAATTTTATCGGCTACCGTCATCCCATCATCGGGGTCCACATACGACATGGCGACGCCTGCATTCATGGTCTGTCACTGATTTCTTTTTCTCTTGCTTCAAGATGAGCAAGCTTACCTTGGAGCAACAGGCTCCCTCTCCTCCTATCGCCCTCCGTGTAAACTCGTCCCGGAGTATTTCAAGCAGGCAAGAGGAGGGCGGGGAGGTCGAGGCTGAGAAATACAGGGAGGAGAGGATATGAGAGACAAGTAGGTAGGCAGTGCAGGCAGGGAGGCTGGGAGGGAGAGTGGGGAAGAAGGTAGACGGGAGAAGGGAGAAGGGGGAAGGGAGAGATCAAGGGGAGGGGTGGTAGAGAGTGACGGGAAGAAGGGAAAGGAGAGAAAAGACAAAAGGTTGGATAAAGAAAAAGAATCCATGGGAAGTAAATGGAGGGAACGGCAGGTCGAAGATGTCGCAAACAAGTATGGAGTGCATCGTGTCTATCTTGCTACAGATGATGAATCGGCTGTGCAGTATGTCCGGTAAGCAGTTGATGATGATGATGATGATGATGATGATGAGGATGAGTATGATGATGAGGATGAGGATGAGGATGAGGATGAGGATGAGGATGAGGATGAGGATGAGGATGAGGATGAGGATGAGGATGAGGATGAGGATGAGGATGAGGATGAGGATGAGGATGATGATGATGATGAGGATGAGGATGAGGATGAGGATCAGGATGAAAATGTCAAGGATGCATATGATCATGACAATAATGGTACTAGTGTACATGGTGCCTACTTAGATGCACAAGATGAAATCGGAGACTCACACTCTCTCACTTGGATTGCAAATCAACTTGTTGTTCGCTTCTTATCTTCATCTGTGTTTCTCTCAGGGCCGTATATCGAGAGCTTGACATCATCCACATCCAGATTGATAGAAGAGGTATGATGTCCTCCTTGCTGCTTCTCTCGTCCCCCCCCCTCCTCTTGCCTCCCCTCCTTCTCCTTTCCCTCCTCTTCCATCTCCTTTTGCCTATCCGGTCTCTGTTTCTCCTCGTAAATTATCTCATATTCACTGTACCTCCTCTTTTGTTTGATGATTTTTGCTCCTCTCCTTTTGACTTTCCACTTTCTTCGTTGGGTCCCTTGAATGCGTCTTTGTCCTGTGCTGCTGCCATTCTCCTCGTCTCCTTCTGCCCCTTCTTTGCTCTTGTATCTCCTCCTTTCTTTCCCGTTCTTTCCTTCGTTCTTCTCAATTCTTCGACGTTGTCCTCCTGTGTTCTCCTCTTGTCTCTTCTTCTATCATTCTTACCGTTCTCTCTGTAGAGTTTCACAGCAACTGGTTCATCGAGTATCGTATGAAAGCCTCGATGGAGTCCAACGACGCGAGCTTTCTTGATCTGCAGATGGTGAGAGAGGAGAGTAGAGGCAAGGAGAGGAGGGGAGAGGAGAGGAGGGGAGGGGAGGGGAGGGGAGAGGAGAGGAGAGGAGAGGAGAGGAGAGAGCATAGCTGAGCAGTCTAGAGGGGAGGGGACAGGAGGGAAGGGAGGGGTAGGAAGGGGAGAGAAGGGGGCAGTTAATTCTTTAGGACAAGCAGAGGAGGGTGGAGGAACTCGGAAGTGTTTCACATGCTTTTTCCTTTCAGGTTGCAGACTCAACAATCATCGATCTTGCTCTGCTGGCAGAGAGCGACTACTTGGTAAGTTAAGAGAGGAAGATGAAGGCTGGAGCGAGGGAAGAGGACCAATGGGAGAGGAGGGAGGAGGGAGGGGGAATGGGAGGAAATGGGCATGAGATGAAGAGATCAAGAATCTGAATGTTTTCATTGTTAGATCGGCGCTTTTTCATCTCATTTTTCTCGTCTCGTGCTTGAACTGAGTGTCAGCATGAAAGGATACGTTAGTCAACCCCTCCTCATCCACCACTTCTTCCTCCTCTTCCTCCTCCTCTTCCTCCTCCTTCTCCCTCCTCTCCCTCCTCCTTCCTCGTCCTCTCCTATGAAAGGTCACGTGGGTCAACTTCTCCTCCCCCCTCCCTCCTCTTTTGTTGTCTTGTTGTATCGCTCGTCCCCTCCTCGTCTGTCTTCTGCTTCCGTATCCTGCACTGTTCCTCACTCTCCTTCTGCCCCGCTCCCTCCTCTCGTCCCCTCTCCTGCCCTCTCTCCCTTCCTCGCTCTGTCCATTCTCTCCCCTTTCCTCTCTCCTCTTGTTTTCCTTTCATCTCCTTTCACTTCTCTCACATTCGTCTCAGGTCCCTCCCTATGTCTCTCTCGATTACGCCTACGGCATGCCAGGAATTTTCCCTCCTTACGCTCGACCCCAGTAGCTTTTATGTACAAAGATAAATTACCAGACAGCAAGCGGGAAAGGTTGTTCCACACTCATTCCTCCCTCCTCCATTACCACATGCTCCTCCGTATCCTCTCGCTCCGCTTCCTCCGCTTCCTCAACATCCGCCGCTTGCGCTTCCCTTTTTCCCGTCGCTCTTTTCTTCCTTGTCCTCAGACCCTTTACGGGTTCCCCCGCTGCAGCAGCGTCTGTGCTCGTTCTATGAGGGCGGAGAGGTGGGTACTTCTTGTCTCTTTCCCCCTCCTCTCAGGCGGGACGTTCTCCTTTCCCATCCTCCTCTGCTGCCGGAGCCCCCGGTCGCCATCGGAGGACGGCGGATCCAGCGGACGACACCTTGCCATGTCGTCTTGCTGCCTGGAGGTCAGGAGGGAGAGCTCGGGCAGGAGAGCAGTGTCGTTGTAGTCCTGGAGGGAGCAGACAAGCTGCTGAAGTATCCTGTTCTGTTCCATGATGAGGTGGTTGGAGGATGCGGAGCTGTGCGAGTGTGAGAAGGCAGAGGGAGGAGAGGAGCGACTACCTCTTGTCTTGTTGAGATGTGCTGATGGCAGCAGGTTGAGGAGGAGGAACGTCTGAGGGAGAAGGGTGAGAGACCGAGAGGGGGCAGGAAGATCAAAGAGGGAGAAGGCAAGGGAGGGGCAAGGAGAGACAAAACTTAAGGCGAGGAATGAGGAGAGGAGGAAGGAAGGAGAGGAAGAGGACTCTCAGGAGAGGGAGGGGAGGAGATTTCAAGGAGCCATACCGTGTGCCTTCTTCTTCAAGGCCTCTGCTTGTTTTCTAAAGTCTTGCTCAAGTTTCTCCGCGTCTTCTCGCGCTCTTCTCGCCTCCTCCTCCAGCTCTCTAGCCCTCCTGGCACAGACGCTCCGCTCCACCATCCTCAAGTGAACCTCCTCCTGCATCTGCTTCGCCTCTTTCTTCCGAGCGCTGAGCTCCTCCACCAGAAGCTGACGTGACCAAGACATCTCCGCCAGAGCCTTCTCGATGCACACAACTCGTCTCTCCTCCTCCTCCTCCCCGCCTCTTCCCCTGCCTCCTCGTTGCTCGCACTGGCATGCAGCATCGACTTGAGCAGGAGGAAGGGAGACGCTCCTTTCACGCTCCTTCCTAGACAGCAGCTGCTGCACTGCAACCAGCTCCTGCTTGTAGTACTCCATGAGACCCGCAGCGTTGCTGAGCTCCTTCTCAAGACGCTGCCGGATCCCTGCCTGCTCCAACGCCTGCTGCCTGAACGCCAGCGTCTCAGCCCTGACCTTCTCTTGCTGCGTCCTCCGCCTCTCCAGCTCTCCTTCAGCTTCCCGCAGGTTGCACTCGAGGTGGGAGAGCTTGTTAGAAGTCGCGACCAGCTCGATCTCAACAGATCCCTTCTCAGCTTCCAGGAGCATGTGGAGATGCGACAGGTGCGCACAAACCTCCTCCTTCGTCCTCTTCTCCTCAACCAGGCACGCGACCTTGCCTGCGAGCCGGGAGCAGACGACGGAGGCAAGCGCTGCCGCCTGCTCCTCCACCTCCTGCACCCTCCAGTCCAGCTCAGCCTGGGCTGTCTGCCACTCCTCCGCCACCCTCAGCTTCCTCCTCAGCCTCTTCACCTCGCTCCGGCACTGCATGAGAGCAGCACGTCCATCCTCCACCTCCCTCCGTAGACTCGCCGACTGCGCGAACTGATCGCGAAGGTCCTCTGCAAGTTCCATGAAGCACCGACCAGACATCTCCACCTCTTTACCCAGCTGCACTGCAGAGGCCGCAAACTTGACGTTCCTCTCCTGGAAGACCACAAACCTATTGGAGAGCCTGTAGAGGTCCAGCTGGAGGGCTTCGCACTTGTCCTTCCACTCCCTGCAGGAGCAGGGCCGGCACCCGCCCCTTGCACTGCCCTCCTCCTCCCTCGCCCGCAGCACTTCTCTTCGTTCCTCCTCCTTCGCTGCCTCCGCTGCCCTCAACTTCTTGCTCAGCCTTATAACCTCCTCCCTCCTCCCCTCCAGCTCCCCGAGGACAGAGCGATGGACGGAGCTCAAGTCAGCCAACGCTTGCTCGAGACCAAACACCTTCTTCTCATTCTCCAGCAGCCACACACTGCAGGTGCACAGCCTCTCCCCTCCCAACCGCAACCTCGCGAGGGAAGACATCTCAGCACGTAGCCTCTCCTCCGCCTCCCTCCGCCCTGCCTGGCTCGCCTCCAGCTCCCTCTTGCTCTCCCGCATCGCCTCCTCTACCTCCGACAGCCTCGCTCGCGTCTCCTCTGCCTTCCGCGACCAGAACTCCGCGTCCTGCCTCGCCGCCCCTGCCTCGTACGCAGCCTTCCTCAGCTCCTCGTCCCTCCTCGCCACCTCTCGCTTCAGCTCGGCCATCTCCTCCTCGCCTCCTCCGCTCCTCCTCCCTTCCTTCGTTGCCCCTCCTTCTGCTCTCCCCGCCCTCTCCTCCAGCGCTGCCTGCTGCTGCTTCAGCTCGGCTTCTAGCTGGCCCATCGCCTGCCTTGCTTGCTCCGCCTCCGCCCTCGCCAGCTCCGCCTCTCTTCGCTCCTCCCTCAATCGCGCCTCCTGGCCCGATATTGCCTCCTCCATCTGAGCTCGTGCTCCAGCAAGCCTCTCCTCCGCCTCCCTCCGCCCTGCCTGGCTCGCCTCCAGCTCCCTCTTGCTCTCCCGCATCGCCTCCTCTACCTCCGACAGCCTCGCTCGCGTCTCCTCTGCCTTCCGCGACCAGAACTCCGCGTCCTGCCTCGCCGCCCCTGCCTCGTACGCAGCCTTCCTCAGCTCCTCGTCCCTCCTCGCCAACTCTCGCTTCAGCTCGGCCATCTCCTCCTCGCCTCCTCCGCTCCTCCTCCCTTCCTTCGTTGCCCCTCCCTCTGCTCTCCCCGCCCTCTCCTCCAGCACTGCCTGCTGCTGCTTCAGCTCGGCTTCTAGCTGGCCCATCGCCTGCCTTGCTTGCTCCGCCTCTGCCCTCGCCCGCTCCGCCTCTCTTCGCTCCTCCCTCAATCGCGCATCCTTGGCCGACATCTCTTCTTGAAGTTGCTTTAGAGTCTGTTGGTTTCCAATGTGCGTAAGTGCCATTCTGGAGTTGTGACAGTCAATCGTGATCATCCTTTGGAGAATGAGCTCAGCTTGCCTCTCCAGCTCATCAACGAGTTCAGAGGTTGACGCCAACATGCGCAAGCTTTTCTTGTCCTCCCTCGCTACCTTTTCAGCATCTTCGCACATTGCCCTCATTCTCTCTACCTGAGCTTGAAGAGCTTCCGACTTCTCCAGCAGCCTCCCCCTCTCCCCCTCGACCTCCTCAAGCCTCCTCAGAAGCTCAAACCGCTTAGTCTGATGCGACGGTGACATCAGGAACGATGCCGCCTCCTCCAGACGCTGCTTCTCTCCCGTCAAGCCCTCCACCCTCTCGACAAGCTTTCTCCTCTCCTCCTTCAGCCCCGCTGCTTCCTCCTTGCCTGCCTCGGCCTCTCGCCTGCTCTCCGCAAGCTCGCCCCTGACCCGATCTAGCTCCTGGCCAAGGGACTCGAGCTCCTGCCTGACCGACTGATGTTGTTCCGATAGTTCCTCAAGCTGCGCTCTGCTATCCTCAAGTTTGGAAGCAAGATTGGCTTTCTCGTTTTGTACCTCTTCCAAAATGATTTGCAGGCCATGGAGACTCTGCTGGTAGTACGAGGAGTGCGTGCCAATCTCCAAGATTTTCTTTTGCTGCTGCTCGAAGACCATCATTGCAGACTTGTTCTCCTCTTCCAATTCACGAATTGATTCAGAACAGGATCGGACGGTGGCGTGGATGTAGTCTACAAACTTGGAGACTTCGCTGCTGCAAGCTTGTCGTTTCAAGGTCAAATCGCTGATCGTCTTTTTGGAGTCGTCCAGCAGCGTGGTAAGATTATGTTTCTCCTTCTCAAGAGCCTCAAACTGCCTGTCGTTCTGCATCTTCTTTGCCTGATGGGAGGGAGACATCAGAAACGCTGCCGCCTGTTCCAGCGCCTTCTTTTCATGCTCCAACTTCTCAATCCTTAGAGTAAGAGCCCTCTTCTCTTGGATGTGAGTAGAAATTTCTTGCTCATGGCAGGAGGCTTGCACCAACAGCTCTGAGAATCGCGTGTCAACATCAGCAGCCTCCCGTTTAAGCTGTTCCATGTTCGACATCAGTCTTGACACCTACGTCGACCCATCAAACGATGAATGAAGGGATGACATGGAGCAGATGTGGAAAGGAAACTTGGGGGTGGCTGAAGAGAGTAAGAAAGATCGAACGGAAGGAAAGAGAAAGAGGGGAGGAGCAGAGAAGAAGCAGATTGGCACCTGCAATTCGACTGATCCCTTCTCTTGATTGAGATGTTCTATTTCCTTGGAAAGTTGGTCTTTCTCTTTCTTCTGTCTGCCGATTTCAACCTCAAGATTTTCGTTTGTCCTAGCCAGCGTCTTCGACAGCAACCTGAGCTCATCAAGCTCTTTCACCTGCGCCTGGTGTCTCTGCTCTAGTTCAAGATACTGCTTCCTCCAACGAAAGTCCTCTGACACGTGAGGATCTGGCGGAGCAAGTGCCTGAGAGGAGGGTTCATATCATGTTGGCGATGAAGGCAAGGAGCAGTACCATCGGTCGATCGGGCAAGCTCTCCAAAGAATGCTTCAGGTTCTCAATCTCTGAGGCGAGGATCTGCTGGTCCTTGACAAAAGAGGATTCTTTCATCGAGTGCAGCAGCTGCTGGACTTCGCAAACGAAGATCCGACTGCCCTCCATGCACACTCCAGTCTTCCTCGAGAATTCCTTGTAGGGGGACACCAGCTTCGGAAAGAACATGTGCTTGGCTCTCTCGGACAACGAGCTCTTGAGTTTCTCAGTCTCGGCAAGATCTGTCTGTGCAAACATGGCGTTGACAGTCTGCCGATCGTTGTAAATTCCAGTGAGAGACAAGGACCGAAGACTTACTTGGATGGCTTGCATCGCTGCCATGCTGATCGCCTGCTTCTCTGCTAGCCCCTCGATGATAGCGCACACTCGACGACGATGGCTCACTGTCGGGGAGAACTCTGGCTTTGCCGGGCTGGACACCTGGCGGACGAGTCGTCAGCACTGAGTTTCAGCAGCCCTTTATCGTCACCTGGCCAAACTGTGTGCTGAGTGAGATTACGATTCCTGCATACTTCTCCTTGGGATGATCCATGGCGGCCTCGTCTGCAGCAACGTGCCGACGTCAGGCATGGTCAGAGGGAGAAATGCTTCCCACTTGAGCTCGTGTCGGGAGTGCTCAAGCCTTTCAAGGACGGATTGTCCTCCATCTCGCTTTGGTTCGCTGTTTCCGTGTCTTTGTTCTTCTTCTTATTCCATGGCGGAGTAAACACCTTCTTTGATTTGCCTGATCCATTGGAGGTCAATACAACACTGTCATCATCGGATATCGTGGCAAACCAAGATTGTTCATTGCACGCAGAGTGTATGTCGGTAGAAAATTTCAGCTCCCACTACTCCCAACTGAAAACAGATGCCACGGACAAGTCAAGCACAGAAAAAAACACATTCAAGTCCCCGAGTTCATCCTAATCTTGCCGCGCTTCGATTCTTTCAGTGATCGGCGTCAACAACATCATCAGCAGACATAGTGTCTTCGTCGATCTTCTCCTACACTTCTCCATGACATGCGACTGCTCACCTGACATGGCTCGCCACTCCTGCCATATTCACCCGCCTTTTCTTCCGGAAACCTCAAATTCAAAAACTCGTTTAGCTCCGACTTTGAGGGACTATCATTAAAATCGATTAGCTCAACCGTGCACGGTTGAGCCCGGGGTCACCGGGCCCGGGGTGACCTCAACTTGTGGGCCCGTGACCAATTTTTATTGTATTAATGCTACGTCCTCCATTCACGCGGAAAGAGAGTTTTTCGAGCTGAGATTGACCGGAGATGAAAGCAAAAATCTTGTAACAAATCAGAGCTGATGCCAAAAGACTTATTTTGAGTTATCAATATATATGTTGCATTTCAGATCTGAATCGCCTCTTCTTCTCTTCGTCGGCCTCCCTTGTCTTTGGGGTCGCATCTATTGGATGTACCCGTGGTTACACAAGGGAAAACCACCGGCCGATAGGTCTTGCAAAATTGAATGCTCGCTTGGTAGTCCGGTACCGGTACTCCCTGGGTGACTACCGGACGAATTCTGGTAAAATTATCCGGTTCAGACGTACCCTCTGTCCCCTTTCTTTGCTGTTTTTGCACCCGTGGCTTCTAGGATCTACTTCACCGGTGTATGGAACTTTGGCACCCGTAGTTTTTACATGAGAATAGACCGGTGGTAAACGTTCCAAGGTCCAAGTTTTTGTTTTGAAAATGAAAAGTGTTATATAATAAAAAAATCATTTAAATAAAAAATAGTTATTCTTGTATATAAGTAGTTATTCTTTTACGGAGGGATCTACAAATTGTCTTGAATCCAAGGGGTAGGGGTCAGTGAGCAGCACTACCACCATTTGGCATATCATATGGACCGGTGGATTGTGATCTTTGCAATGGGGACACCATAATTTCATGGGTGGGGTGGAGCGAGGCATTGCAGACGAAAAGCACCCACCCCAATGACGAGAATGTGTCCCACCCCATGCACCAACAAAAGTAAACTCTACCCCTATCAATTACCCAAAAATCACTGGGTTCATACCCCTCCATTTTACTACCCCTACCTACAACAATCCAACACCCTTGCTGCGATGCACCCCACTCATCAAATCCTTTACACACTACCCCACCCTCATGAAAGAAAAGAATCTCTGGCCAAGTTCCCAATGTACCCGTCCATTTCGTCATCCCCACCCCCATAAAAGAATCTTCTGTGGCATCGAAAATTCTTCAGCACTAAGTGAGCTAATATATTAGAAACAATAAGCTCAAATTGTCATATAGTATGCACCCTCGCCCTTTGCGGGAATGATTGCTGTACCATCATCGTTCCATTCCATTTGAAGTACCCTACCCCTGTATTTCTATTACCCACCCCTGGAATCCAAATCGCCGCAACAAGGTTTGAAACGCTGTGATGATGCATCCTTTCAGCCCCCCAAAAAAGCTTACTATAAAAGTGCTCTTGCTACAAGAGCATGTGGCAAGGAGAGATGAGAGAAGAAGGCTGGAGCACGAAGGAGAGTGGAAGGAGAAGAGGCAGGAGGAGGATACAAGGGTAACCAACACGATTAGCTACAAAGCTACTTGTGCATGAAGATAGATTGTGCAAGGAATCGAATAACATGGCTAGGAGCAGCTACTTGCATGTACACCTAAGGTGGCAGATGCGTGTTTTGTAAGATAGTCCTGAAGGCTGAGAAAAATGAATGCCATACGATCACCATACGAGAAAAACATAGAGAAACTCAATTTCAGACGAGATGCAACTCATTTGATGAAAGAGATAAGGGGGGTGACCGCGTAGGTCCCCAAGAGTGTTTCATGGATACCCAGCAAGCACGTGATCATATCCTTGAAAGGCTTTGTAGCCAGCATGATGTCTCAAGTATCCTTCATTGTGATAGATTGCACATGCCACGTCGTTTTTAGTCACTTTCCCCTGTGTTTCTTTCATATTCTCCTGTTGTTTTCCATAGCGCAATGGAACCGGGGATGCGGCTCCTTCAGGGTGTGTGACAGTGGTGTTGCTACAGATGTTTACTTCTACTTTGAATCGCATCCCGCGTGGAGCCCTCAGGGCCCAACAGTCACGTGCAAAATCAGCTGCCATCGCTGCTCAGCAGAAGTGGCAAGACCTTGTCAAGTAAGTGCTATGATATACCACATGTACCGTAATACAAAATGACAGGAACAGCACCAAGGTGGAGCAGACTGTCAAGGATGGCGCCAAGAATGTGCAGTCTGATTGGCAGGACCTTGTCAGAGCTGCCAATAAGATCATTCCAGATGAGCCAGTGGTGACAGAGGCCAAGGTTACTGTCAAGGTATAAAACAAAGTTGAATGATCGCTCAACAGATCGTTTAACGATTCTCGCAGGCAGTCCACGGTGTCAGCATGTAAATTGTAGTCATATAATCCTAAATCTTTATTGTTTGATCGCCTCTTCGTGAGAATTTTCTACGGTTTTGTAATATGGTAAATTGTGTTTGCATGAAATTTGGAGCATGTTTAGTTTCTGGCAACACGCTCTCCCCTGAACACATACGTGATGGTCAAAAGAATGTCTCGACAAGATCGGTACATATTGCAGAGTGCGTGGGTTGGATCAATATATTGTTCTATATCATACTGGATACTAGCTGCTAGTATGCACCCAACAGGGGCAATTAAAAATCAGCTTGATGTTTCTCAAGGGATGGAGTCCTCTTCTGTAACTGTAATGCGCTCAAACGCAACACGGGCTTGGAGATTGAGAATTCTTCTAATTGTCTTCACGCGTAATTATCTTGCAAGTAGAATTGTCTAGTCATGAGTCTAAAGTACTATCTTGGTAGAGTAATATTTTGCTCACTAAGACTAGAACCACGTTGAGATTGAGGCCCAAGGATATCTCAAACTATTCACATGCATGTTCATCATGGTTGATTTGCCACAATTTCATTTCCAATCCCTCTGCCCCCAACAAGGGGCGAGCATATTGCCAAATCCAGTCATCTCGTGCCAGCTTGTTCTCTGTCAAGCACTCCCTCTTCAAGGCACATCATTGTAGTCTCCTTGAGTTCCAACTGGCATGCTCCTGTCTGAGTTGCAGGCCTCGAAGTCTCATCCTCCGTCATTCCCGTAGCCTTCGCTCGTGCCTTCATCACGCTGTTCCACAGCAGCTCGCCCGTACCCGCACTCTGCCTTCGCTTCTTGGACTGCTCGGAGGGAAGACTGTCTAGCTGTGGAAAGCTTGCCCTGCGACTAGGAGCAGCATGCTGGGAGAGGGTCCAGTCGGGAGAGGGCTTGATGGTACGCCGGAGCCGGATGTCGTTTGGCTGAGGAGTTTGATGGGTAGGAGGAGCAGAAGGCGCTGCAGGTGAGGCATGGATCGAATCTTGGACCATCTTGGCTAGTGGAGCTCCTGAACCCGTGCAGTTGAAGTTCGTGCTTGTGGTGGTGGTGGTGGTGGTGGTGGTGGTGGTGGTGGTAGGGGGCTCGCAACGTAGAGATTTTTCCTCAAGAATCACGAGGGCGGGGAGATAGAATTTACACTTAAAAGAGATACAGCTGCAAGATATGCCTTAGGGTACAATGATAAAATTGACAGTCAGAGATGTGGAGGGTCAGAGAAGTTGCGGGGTCTTGGAATCTAGCGATACACGTCTGGGCCTTACAGCAGTCACGAGGGACATGGGTCTACTCGACCTTCTCAAGTCGCAAAACTAAGTCTTTTCGTCAAGAAGGCGCAATGTAGTAAAATGAGAAACTCCGAAAAGACTGCGTCTCGTGTTCACGTGCTCACTGCGTTAAAACGGATTCGGATACAATCCCTGCCGCAACCCTCAACTCTCCTCTCCTCCCTCCTCCATTCGTCTTGGAAGGCTCTGACATCCTCGGCCCTCCCGCTAGAACCTCTCATGCACACCATGGAGACGATGCCTCTCAAGATCTTTCCTAGGAGGAAGCAGGGTCAGACCACCAGGGCGCCTGACGTCAGCCTGACATATGAACGAGTATCCTCCTTCTTTCACATGCGACTAGAAGATGCTGCGCATGAGCTGGTGAGAGCAATGCTCATTCAGTATGATAAATTCTTTGATCTCACGCAGACATTGCAGGGAATCTCTTTGACTGCCTTAAGAAGCGCATGCCGGCGGCTAGGAATCGAGCGATGGCCATACAGCAGGAGTGGAAGAGAGGCAGAGGAAGCAAACATCACCCTGGAAGACAACACAGTCAGCATCGACACAGAGCGTGGAGATGGTGCAACAGAAGTGAATATTGCTGAGGGGGAGTCTCACGAGGACATTGAAATGGAGGAGCAGCAAAATCCAGACTATGAGGTTCATCCTCGGAGTCCAACTGCCTCTTTTGTAGAGTGGTACGTGAACATACCTCTTGACTCTGAAGAAGTCTAGGGAATCTGGACGATTCTAGCTTTCAACTGCTCGACGCGCCTTTCATGCCTTCATGCGTGAATGTGGAGAACAGCACTGAGTGTATTTTGAAAGAGAGTATTACTGTCTGTTATGCATCATTATTTTCTCGACTATTCCCCTTCAATAAGTTTTTCTTGTAAAGTCCTACCTTCTACTTCTTTTGAAAGTTTGTTTCTTTGATTGTACTGCTCTCAAGGAGCCATGAGACGCCTTGTTTGATGAAAAAAAGTAAGTGGTTGCTATCCATTGCTCCAGTGTTTCTACACGCTTCAATGAGAGCTAATTGGACGCGCTCTTTCATTCTTTTGTGAAAGGTCACGTAGACCCCATACCGACAAGACCAACGTGTGACTGATGAAACATTGTCATGTGCCATCTTACGTGCATATTTTCTCACCAACACGTTTCTGAGCAATCACAACGTAGCATCACTTGACACTTGATGTTCCGATTTTCTACCATTCAATCGACGTCAGCCTGACAGACCCGCCTCAGTGCCTTATACATGTAATACTTATAATACTATAAGGTCACGAGGCTGCAAACAGAAATTTGAAAAGACCTGTTTTCCTTTCAAGTATGCTACGTGACCAGAGGACTCGATTTCTGCCATCTTTATCTCCCCCAACACGTAGGAAGGGAAGCCAGGGAAGCAAGAGAAAACGTCCGCGAAAGCATCAGATCTGCTAATAATTTCTGCATCATAGCTGATATGGAGCAACGCCCGATCAAGATCTTCCCCCGCAGGAAGCAAGGTCAGCCCTCCCGAGGCCCCGACGTCTACCTCACCCACGACCGCCTCGCCTCCTTCTTCCACATGCGCCAGAAAGACGCTGCCGAGAAGCTGGTAAGACCTCCTCTACACCATGCTTGAGTGAGCGTGGTTGTAAGAGCCAAGGAAAGGGGAGCGGGGAGTGTGGGGGGGGGGGGGGGGGGGGGGGGGGGGGGCGGATCTAAGAGGATCTGAGGGGGAGTGAGAGTGCGACGCAGGGGATCTCGCTGTCGGCGATGAGGAGCGCCTGCCGGCGTCTGGGGATCGAGCGATGGCCATACAGCAAGAGCGAGCGGGAGGAAGAGGAAGGAGGCAGCAAGGATGGCGACGAAGAAGACCAAGAGGAGGGAGAGATCCCTGGATCAGAGCCTGACAGGATGCCTGTAGAGCAAGTCGCTGATGCTATGGCAACTTCGAGTGAGGGTTCTCCTGTCATGGAGGACGCAACAACTGCAGCTGCTTCTGGAAGCTCCAGTGATCCAATCATGTGGGGAGGCCAAGACGAGGTTCCTACGCCTGAGGTGCTGCCCCGGCCGCCGTCGGAAGCCTTCATGAAATGGTATGCGAGCGTTCCTAACGAGTCTGAGGATGTCTAGTGTGTAGCACGGTGGTCTCAAAGAAGATAAGACGAGAGGATGCAGACAGCATGCGACGATCGAGAGGAAGGTGGCAGAAGCTTTGAAGCATTACCACATTCATAAAGATTGCATGTTAGACATTACATTGCTCCCTTCCATGGCAATCATTTCCAGACATTTCAATGATGTCTATTCTGTGAAATCAATTTATTGGGCAGCATTTGCTCATCGAGGAACTGCTTTCACTCTGTTGTTTCAACCGACTCCTGAGACTTTGATCCTTGAGAAATGGAAGGAAACGTTTCAAGGCAAGGGCGGGCACAGCCTGTAAGTTGGAACATGATCAGATATAACGATTTGTTCGCATGAGATGTCTTGAACGAATGATGTTTGGAGCTATTTCAAGGTACAAGGCAACTCCACTCCTTTCTGTTTGAGATGTCCACAAGTAGAAAGCTGTGAAATGTTCGTTGCAAAGAAATGAGGCACCTGGAACTAATCGTTCCATGAAAACATCTTGCCCTGTAGATTTTGCGTCGAATTGAGGATTGAAATGAGCTCTTGTTTGACGGTTTTTGGCTTCGCACACTCCAATATCATGCGGATTTTTGAGATGTAATCCTTTGCTAGACATGCTTCATGACAACGCGGACAAGTAGGGTTACGAGTTGCCGTCCATGATACTGTGCATCGAAAGAAAAAGAAAAAAAGAAAAGAAACCAAGGTAAAACTTTTGCCTGCGTTGTTTTATTATTTATGGGGAGAAGATATGGGGGAGATCTGACTGCTGACTGCTTCGGAGTTGCTTTCCCAATGCCTGTTTTGAACGCAACGTTTCGAGCTAGGGGGAAGCACTAACTGCTTCCCAATGCCTGTTTTGAACGCAACGTTTCGAGCTAGAGCTTTACTATACGTTGAGATGCGGAGGTCATTCCCGCGTGACCTCTGTCATTCCCTCGTGACCTCTGTATCTGTAAATCGCTCAATCTCCACAAGACAAAGCTCGGAATCCTCCATACTCCTACGAACCCATGCTCAGCGATGAGCGGCAGGAGCCCTCGACAAGCAGCCTGCCACGTGCTCACTTCCCGTTGTCTGGCATACCTGCTCCTCCAAACACTGCAACGAGCAACAACACAAGCGATCATCCATTTCTCCTTCTCCATACTCCTCTTCACCTCGCTGACGACATCCGGCTCCGGCGTACCATCAAGCCCTCTCCCGACTGGACCCTCTCCCAGCATGCTGCTCCTAGTCGCAGGGCAAGCTTTCCTCAGCTAGACAGTCTTCCCTCCGAGCAGCCCAAGAAGCGACGGCAGAGTGCGGGTCCGGGCGAGCTGCTGTGGAATAGCGTGATGCAGGCAAGATCTAAGGTTACGGAGTCAGTGACATTTGATATCACAAGCTTACATGCTCGATCAAACCTGGCGCCTTCGCTGGAAGCAAACTTGTCTGCGTCCTGAGTGAGAAACAAGGAAAGCCATGGTCTCGGCTGACAGCTTCGTAGGCTTCAGCCCATTAGGGCCCTTGAACCACTCCGTTGACTTTGGTGTGCCTGAGTGCCTGAACTTTTGTTGACTTAAATCACGTCTATACTTGTTCGTGAGACTTGCTGAGGTCATGTTGCATGTGATTCACGCTGATCGAACAGTAGTAGACAGTTTCTTCGTAATTTGAATGAACTACTCTCCATCTCCACCTCCACCTCCACCTCCACCTCCACCTCCACCTCCATCTCCACAGCGTTGCTCCATTTCCTCCTTGTACAAACCGTCTGCCCCTTCTTGCAATTTTGCTGCTCCACCTCAGGTGAAGAAGCAGAAGCCTCCATGAGCATCTCTCCTTCCCTTCAATGCACGTGCCATCAAGCCAACTTTTCCTCGGCTAGACAGTCGTCCCTCCGAGCAGCCCAAGGAGCGACGGCAGAGTGCGGGTCAGGGCGAGCTGCTGTGGAATAGCGTGTTGCAGGCAAAAGAAAATCAAACAATCTGCAAATATTTTCATTGGTTTTGGCCTTATTGGATAAGAGGGTTCGTGGTGCCCAGCAAACACGACACTCTACGAACAAAACACGTACAAACTCTGCAGAGCAATCAGTCGTTGATCTCAGGGACTCTGTCTCTACTTGTACTTACTTAGCAGGATCCGACATCTGCTCTTGACCTTGATCAGTTAGCGATGGCTGCTTGTAGGTACAAGTCCCAACCTATGCTTTGAGAAATGGAATTATTTGCATGAGGTACCATAATGAAACACGAAAACAGACAGCCACACGCATACATTCCCTCTCTTGTCTGGAAAAAGGACATGGCATCTGGTTTATTTGACAGAGAGAAAACTGTTCTCGTGATGAGATCATTTGCTTGATGTCTTGAAAATCCAAGTCGGTTGTATATCATGATTCAATGAGCCATAGTCAGAATATGAGAAGTGGCTCGATGATTTTTAGTGAAACTGGTTTCCAAAATGCATTATTCTAACCCGAAGTCTCATGACCTTCTTCTCCGCTCCATTTTCAAGCAGTTCATGTTCAGTTTTACACACACCATCGCATCCGTAGCATTCGAAATCTCTTGTTTTTATTGCGGAGCCGTACGACCACCAAATTTCTAAAGTCAACCAGGACAATATCAAAATCGAATCGTCCCAACGACTGTGTCTTTCGATTCGCATGACTGTGCACAACCACAACAGACTTTCTTTGGTGACTGTTAGCTCGTAATTTTTCCATGCCTCACACAGCTTGACGTGTGAGAGAGTGAATGAAATCACACACCTTCCCATGCTCTGCAAAATATGAATCAGTCACACCATGAAAAGCTGTTGGTTGTGCAATCACCGTTCTTCTATGCAGACTCATGACAGTGTAAGGAGATCAAGTAGATTCCATCAATAAGGCAGAGCAATGAAGTTTGCTGATCACTCGCCGGGAAGACAAAGACGGTGATGTCGTTTCGATGTGATCAACAAGGCCATGTGAACTCGTTAGCTCCCTATCCTCCGCATCGCAATCAAGGGGAAAAATAACGAATGCTCTATTTCCTATGTGGAAGGCAGCAATCATCATTCCTACTGGAAACTAGATGTCCTCATCAAGATTTCCAATCATTTGATGAGGCAGGCCCGTTCAATTAAAAAAAATGCAGCATGACTTTTGCCTGTTAGAAAAAAAGACTAAAAAACACTTAGCACATCCCCCCGGAGCAGCGCATGGAGCAACGCCCGATCAAGATCTTCCCCCGCAGGAAGCAAGGTCAGCCCTCCCGAGGCCCCGACGTCTACCTCACCCACGACCGCCTCGCCTCCTTCTTCCACATGCGCCAGAAAGACGCTGCCGAGAAGCTGGTAAGACCTCCTCTACACCATCCTTGAGTGAGCGTGGTTGTAAGAGCCAAGGAAAGGGGAGAGGGGGGGGGGAGGAGTTCTAAGAGGATCTGAGGGGGAGTGAGAGTGCGATGCAGGGGATCTCGCTGACGGCGATGAGGAGCGCCTGCCGGCGTCTGGGGATCGAGCGATGGCCATACAGCAAGAGCGAGCGGGAGGAAGAGGAAGGAGGGAGCGGGGATGGTCAACAGGGGGAGCCGGCATCAATGGAGAAGTCATATGGGTCAAAAGCCAGTGTCGCCGAAGGAAAGGTGGAAATGGGTGAAGGAGCAGGGCGATCGCAACCTGATTTCGTTGAGCTGAACCAATTTGAAAGCTCTTCTTCCTGTCAGACCATCGATGGCAGCGTTGAGGGTACGGGAAGGAGCGATGAAATGTATGCTTGGATCAGCCAGGACGAGGTCCCTACGCCTGAAGTGCTGCCCCGGCCGCCGTCGGAAGCCTTCATGAAATGGTATGCGAGCGTTCCTAACGAGTCTGAGGATGTCTAGTGCGCGCCTGGAGAGTCACAACACAAGGAAGACAATTACCGGAAAGTCTTTTACTCCCGATGACGTCACTGGCCGTTTGCTGCTGCATCCTCTTGTTTAAAAGGATGGCAGGTTGGGTCGCAGGGGGCCTTGGTAGGCTTTTGTTGACTTTACGCTGCTGAGCATGAAATATGGCATTGTTGCTTGTTGCGTGTTGCCCTCGATCGGCGAGGCAACCATTTAACCTGTTTGTTGCTGATTGCAAGATTTGCAAGCATGGATTTACCCAGTAAACATCATGGAGTGTGAAACCTTGATTGAAAAACAAGAAAAAATGATGATAAGTTTGATGATAGAATTGTGATTGTTTTCAGAATACACACGAATGTTCCAGTTTACTTGCAAGATAGAATACAGTTCAATGATCCCTCACCTTTGACATCTCAAAACACTGGCATGCTCGTTTTTGCGCTACAAATTCTCTTCTAAGCTCCAGAGCAACCATTCCCTAACAATGTCTACACTAAGAAAAGAGTCGTGAGAGTGATCATGCTCGATCTTTAGAATCTCTAGAGCACAACATGCATTGGACATGCTCAGCACCTTCCCCTCCGCGATTCATTCTCTAGCGAACCATACATTGCAATATTCTTACGTGTGCTCATGCCTCTGCGCATCCTCTATTGCATAGTCAGTCTTCGTCGCAAGTATACATGACGTCATAGCGATCGCAGTCCTCTTGCTTCTCCTCTTGCTCTGCAGTCACCTTATCTGCCGAGACAAAGAATGGTATTCGGTAAGATCAACCAGCTCTAGAGCGTCGCAGAAAGCATCTCAAGTTTCCTGTTCTTCTTCAAATCATACCTTGCCAACCAGTTGACAGGCGACGATGATGTTCGGAATGAGCTGGTGGCAGCTCGTGCTGACTGGGTAGTAAGGAGCGTATCGTTGTTCAGCAAGTTGCAAAGCTTGATTGGACCAGCAGACACGATGCGTTGACAAGAGGAAGACGAATTGTGACTGATGAAGGGCAGGATGACCGCATGGGATGACCGGGAGGGAGGGGGAAGGGTTGGCCAGTGACTCTTTCGGAGTTCGATTCCTTCTGGCTCTCTGTATCGCAACGCTTCCACCCAATGTTTACTACATGAATTTAGAGTGATACAAGAATACATGTTTTCAGCTTCTTGGGTCTGTAAGCTTCAATATCCGAAGATTCTAGAACAGTTGTAGAACGAACGTGTAGCACCTCCTCGTTTGCTCGGCAGGCTGCGCGGAAGGGAAAAGTTGCTCGTCTTTCACGAGCGGCGACCAAAACCATCCAGCATTCAACATGGCATCCGATTCGAGTACATGCCAACATGCGCACGATCAGCACCAACAGCATCGACAACAACATCATCACCATGAGCCTCTACAGTCCGATCCATCTGAATCACACGACACTGATTTACAAGACCTCCCTGATGGACTCATAGCTGCAGTTTCTGCTCCTCTTGCCCCTGCTCATTCATCTCAGAACCCCACACTCGTTTCAATTGACATTCACCATTACATGCCCAACTCTCCTGCTCCTATCCCCGCTTCTCCTCCTCCTCCTCCTGCTCCTACAAATCTGATAGAACTTGATCCAAACGACATCCGTCTTCGGCGTACCATCAAGCCCTCTCCCGACTGGACCCTCTCCCAGCATGCTGCTCCTAGTCGCAGGGCAAGCTTTCCTCAGCTTGACAGTCTTCCCTCCGAGCAGCCCAAGAAGCGAAGGCAGAGTGCGGGTCCGGGCGAGCTGCTGTGGAATAGCGTGATGAAGGCAAGATCTAAGGTTACGGAGTCCAACTCCGAAGATGTTTGAGCAGCTTTGCTGGGAATCAATGACGAAGGAGTTTCTGATGAGAGCCCGACTGGAGACTGCTAGAGGACGATGCCGTGAGTTAGGGTTTATTTTCTTAGCGTCTGTTACCTGTGTGCGCGAATATGCTAGGGGCGGAGGGAGTGCGCTCAAATGAATGAAAACTTTCAAAAGTTGGCAACTCTTTGATTGTCTGTGGGATGAAGAAATCATTGTATTAATTGCCTCCATGAGAAGCAGCACCTATGGCATCATCTTCAAGGTCGCACTGGCGGCATCCAGGTTGAACTAGTAACGGCACGTAGAGGATTCCAGCAGGCTTCTTGCAGGACCCAGCATCTTTTTCGCAACTTTCGTTACGGAGATTGAACGTATCATCGAGTCGTCGTATGGCGACAGTCTGATGAAGTGAGTGTTCGCAACTTTCACTTGCAACTGTTGAACGGAGGCTCAGTCACTAGGCGCTGAGCGGCGTACGGTCGTGTTTCGGTAGTATCATGCTCAGTTCACCACTGAGTCCGACTCTCACTGCCGTCACTGTGCACTGACGGCGAAAGAGCCTCGCGGCAGTGCGCCGGCCCCACTCAGTGCCCAGCTCCAAACTTCCGGCAAGCCGCTCCCGTTCAGTATGAAAAGTCACAAGTTACTTCCGAAGTTAGTCACTGGGGCTTGCCGCGTGCGGGGCGGCCACCCCGTGACCGGGTCACCTGGGTCGGAACTCGTCGGAACTTCGGATCACCTCGGTGATCATAGTAAGCCGGCCGCGCTGGTAACCAGGTTGAGGGGGCCCGGACTCCGGGATCATCACTGCGCCGCGCCCGAACCGTTCAACGGTCGAAGGCTCCGAGTCACCGGGTTTCAAGCCAGAAGTTGACTGCTTCCGGCGCCGCCGGGCGGAGCCTATGACCCGGTCACGGTGGCAAGTTTAAGTTAAATTGGCTCTTAGATGATTCCATTATGATGCGGGCCGGCGCCCCGTGACTGCCCCCGGCCACGGGCCCGGCCGGCTCGGCGGTGACAGCGCCCAGCCGCCGGCGGCGGCGGCGGGCCCCCGGGGCGGCGGGGTGGGCTGTCACTCGTCAACCACACCCCCGCAGTGGCGGCCCCCCCCGGCCGGAGGCTTAGGCCGGGCCCGGACTGACCGTACCGTACGGTGGCAGCGCGGCCATTCAAGATTGATCAGATCGGACCGTCCGACCGGCGGCGGACCGGTCCGACGGGCCCCCCGGGGCCCGGGGGGGCCTGAGCGGTGACGCGGCCGCCTCCGTGATTGAGGGCCCTAAGGTCGGGTAGGACTATTGACAAGATCGACATCATGGTGAAAGGTAAAAGGATATGCTTTATGGCATAGAGGATCAAATATAAACTTCTAGAGCTAGGGGTGGGCATACCGAGTCATGTGCTGATCTGGATTTCAGTGGGGTGGGGTACCCAAGGCTCGTTTTGACCGGGGGGTGGGTGGACGATAACGGTCAAGTCAAGACACGATGATGCTGGCGATCGGAGGAAAACCTAGAGGATGCCGGCATGCGGACAGGAAAGAGCAGGAGAGCAGGAGAGCAGGAGAGCAGGAGAGCAGGAGAGCAGGAGAGCAGCAGAGCAGCAGAGCAGCAGAGCAGCAGAGCAGCAGAGCAGCAGAGCAGCAGAGCAGCAGAGCAGCAGAGCAGCAGAGCAGCAGAGCAGGAGGATGACTGAAGGGATAGGAGTGATCAGACAGAGCACAAGCACGAGAAGGAGCAGAAGCGGGAGGTAAAGAACGAGCAGAGGTAGATTGGGCCCGAGGAGAAAAGAATACCTTAGGGACAACAAGATAGCAGGCAGAGTCGCGGGAAGCAGAGGCAGACATCAAACGTTGACTTCTTCATCCTCAAAGTGATCTTTCTCAGACACATAGGCATGTTGCCAGGGAGCGTGTACGTGACGGAGAGACCAGCGATGTCTGTCTTCAGCCACAAGGAGGTGAGAAGATATAGAGAATGCCGTCCTCCTTAACCTACTACGCATGCAGGCGCCTCCTGCCCACGAGCTCGATGCTATCGCTGGGGATATGTTCAGCCTGATCCAGGAGCTTAGGAGAATGTCGCAAGAGATCGGGCATCGTCACATCAGCAGAAGTATGGCACCAACTTGCCTTCTTCTTGGTACTGACTCTCTTGCGCAGTAGCAGATGATCTTGACAGGACTTTCTTCCGCCTCAAGGACTGGCAGAGTCGAAACTGCGCAGGGGCGTCGGGAGCAAGGAGCTCGTTGCTACTCCCTAAGTGCAGTCGGGAGCGGGAGGGAAGGAGGAATGGAACCCCCAAGCTCTTGAGTCCCTTCCTCTCAAGCGTTCGCTTCACTCCTCGACAGCTCTCTCTCTCCTTCTCAGCCCCTCCTGCCAGCCCCAGCACTAGCTGGATCCCTTCCTACCACCCAATGTCTGCTACACTCGGGAGAAGGGAGGAGCAAATTTCTCCTGTGCTCGTTGACTCTTCCTTCTCCTCTCCTCTATTTCCTTCGGGACAGGAACAGCGCAGGAGCGAGGGAGGAGGAAGGAGAGGGAGGGAGGGACAGCTGGGGCTCGAGGTGGACAAGCCATGGGGAGAGGAGGAGGAGGAAGAGGAGGAGGAGGAGGAGGAGGAGGAGGAGGAGGAGGAGCTCTGCAGTCTCATCTCAAGATCGCTGCACAGGGTGGGAGGGAGGAAGGAGGCAGAGGTTTCTATGTCTTCCCCTCCTGAACCTCCTCAGTCTCCCCCCAACGCACTCTTCTTACCCCCCCAGGCTATTGTCGACGACCATCCTTCCTCTAACCAGCCTCCTCCTCCTCGTTTTCCAAGCGCTTCAGACTCCTCCTCCTTCCCCTATCCTCTTCCTCGATCGGATCATAGACCTTCGTCGGCAGTACAGCTCCAGCCTGCTGCCTCCATCTCTCATCTTGCAGCTGCTGGCAAGCAGCTGGGACAGGCCAGGAAAGCTGAGGGAGGAGTAGCGGGCCACGTGAACAGCCTGGGGCTTTCTCCAACCGGCGTGCGAGGGCAGCAACGGAAGGGGGACGCGGAAGTGTGGCACATCAGAAGAGAGGAGGAGAGAGCAAAGAAGCAAAACAAGGAAGAGCAGCAGAGTCAGAGTCAGAGTCAGAGTCAGAGTCAGGGGAAAGAGGGCGACGAGGATAAGCTTAATCTGTTCACATGCCACAGTCTGTTCAACCTTCAGACAGCAGTGCCGAAACTGAGCATTCCCATGAGAGCTAAGGTGTACTCCCTTAGTTCAGCTCCTCCTCAGCCTCTGCTCTCTTCCTCTGTCTCCTCCTCTTTGCTCCCTTGTCTTCGTATCCTTGCGGTCTACTCCGTTCTATCCTCTCCTTCGGGCTTCCTTCCTCTTTCACCTCACAAGCCTTACTTCTTTCAGATCCCGCGGCTCTGGGACGCTGGTTCTACTCCCAAGAACCAGCACGAGGCAGAAAGAACGTCGGAGTCTGATGAAGAGGAGATGTTGATGGTTCAAGGTGAGCCCCCGTTGTTCTTTCATCCTCCCCCTCACCCTCATCTCCCTTCTTTGCCTCCTTCTATCCATCTTTGCTCTCCTTGCTGGCCATACCTCCTCCTCCTCCTCCTCCACCACCACCATTTGGAGATTCGTTTTCAGGCAACTTTTGGGTATGAGGGTCATGAATTCCAGGGTTCCCGAGTTCAGGGCCCGCTGTCCCCATCACCGTCACCGGGGTGACCCGGGGGCCGGCGCCGCCCGCCGGGTACAACTTCACTCGGCCGTCCCGGGCGCCCGGGGTGCGGGGCGGCCCTGCGGACGGTGTAGCTCAA